CCTTCGAGCCTGTTCTGCCATTCTGCACAATCATTGCCTTGTCCAACTCAATAGCCTAATCCTGCTTTCTTTCAATAACCTTTGATCCCATTCAACCCAAGTGCTATATCTAGTTGCATCTAGAATATTTTCAATACTTTGCCATCAACTACTTCCACAGGCTCACCACTCTTTGGGTAAAGAAATGTCTCCTCATCTCCATCCTAAATCGTCTATCCCAAATTCTCATACTGTGATGTGAGGAAGGGTCACCGAACACAAAACTTTTTTTCTTCACAGATGCTGCCAGACCTGCTGAGCTTTTCCAGCAACTTCTGCTTTTGTGTCTCTTACCGTGACCCCTGGTTCTGGACACACCCACCATCGGAAACATCCTCCCTGCATCTACCCTGTCCAGTCCTGTTAGAATTTTGCAAGTCTCTGTGAGATCCCCCATGATTTGTCTGAACTCTAGCGAAAACAACCCCACCCTAGCCAATCTGTCCTCATACGTCAGACCCGCCATCCCCGGAATCAGCCTGGTAATCCTTCGCTGCACTTCCTCGAAAGCAAGAACATCCTTCCTCAGAAAAGGAGACCCAAAACTTGCACACAATATTCCAGGTGTGGTCTCACCAAGGCCGTGTACAACTGCAACAACCCTGCTCCTGTACTTGAAACCTCTCGCAATGAAGGCTAACATACTACTTGCCTTTTTTACCACCTGTTGCACCTGCATGGTTACCTTCAGCAACACTCCCCTCTCTCAACTTACAGCCATTCAGGTTGTAATGCGTACCAGTGTAGGTCTCGGTAGGGTGCTCTTTGAAGGGAGGGCCAGTGCAGGCTGGATGGGCTTAATGGCCTGTTTTCATACTGCAGGGATTCTGTGTGTCATTCCTCCAAAGAACAACAGCATGTCTCAAAGAATTTTCACAATCAATAAAACTTTTCCTTGAAGCGTGATCCAGACCATATGGCAAGATCCCAATCCAACTGAACCAAAACCAAGAACTGTGGATGCTAAAAAAATCTGAAACAAAAACAGAAATTGCTAGAGAAACTCATTTGAAGCATTTGTGGAGAGAAGGCAGAGCTAATGTTTCAATTCCAGTGTCCCAGTTCTGAAGAAAACCAGGGCCAGACTTATAGAGTTAATGGTAGGTCCCTGGGGATTGTTGTTGAACAAAGAGACTTAGGGGTGCAGGAGCTTAGTTCCTTGAAAGTGGAGTGGCAGGGTGGTGATAAGGTGGCGAAGAACATATTTGGCATACTTGCCTTCATTGGTCATAATATGGAGTATAGGAGTTGGGACGTCATGTTGTAGCTGTATAGGACCTTGGTGAGGTCACTTTTAGAATACTGCATACAATTCTGTCACCCTCCGATAGGAAAGATGTTGTTAAACTTGAGAGGGTGCAGTAAAGATTTACAAGGATGTTACTGGGACTGGAGGGTTTGAGCTATAGGGATAGGATGAATGAGTTGGGGCTCTTTTTCCTGAGTTTCAGAGACTGAAGGGTGACCTCGTAGAGGTTTATAAAATCATGACAGGCATGGATAGGGTGAATAGCCGAGGTGTTTTTCCTAGGGTGGAGGAGTCCAAAACTAGAGGGCATAGGTTTAATGTGAGAGGGGAAAGATTTAAAAGGGACATGAGGAATAATGTTTTCACACAGAGGGTGGTGCGTGTATGGAATGAGCTGCCAGAGGAAGTGTGGAGGCATCTGGACAGGTATATGAATAGGAAGGGTTTAGAGGGATATGGGCCAAATGCTGGCAAATGGGACTAGGTTAGATTGGGATGTCTGGTCTGTGTGGATGAGTTGGACCAAAGGGTTTGTTTCCTCGCTGTATGACTCTGGAAAGGTCACTGGACTCAAAATGTTAACTTTCTCTCTCTCTCTCTCTCTCTGTCTCTCTACAGATGCTGCCAGATCTGCTGATGGATTTCTGTTTTTTGTCCAAATCTTTTTGGGAGGGTGACTGGTGCCCACTCCCCTCCGTTTTGTTTTAGTTTTGCAAATAGTACAATGTGATCTTTTAAACCCACTGGAGCTGGGCCTTCGATTTAACATCTCATCTGAAAGACAGTAGTTTGAGTTTTTTTAGTTTTTTTTAATTGTCACATCTTCCAAGATACAGTGTCTGTAATGATACAGCACTCCAAGTCCTAGGGTGAGATTCAAGTCCAGAATCTTATGATTCAGTCCCATGTGCACTGCATGTTTATTCTGTTTTCACAGATAGCTGGATAACAACTGCCCAAAGTAAATTATGCAACTTTTCTTCGTCTGGCCCTTTTCTATCAGGTGTCTCATTGGGTACCGTTCTCTCTGAGTCAGAAGAGTAGGCAGAGAGAAAATGTTTTTCGGGAGAGGCTGAATAGGCTGGGGCTATTTTCCCTGGAGCTTCAGGGGCTGATTTATAAAATTATAGAGATTTATAAAATCATGAGTGGCATGGATAGGGTGAATAGCCGAGGTCTTTTTCCAAGGGTACGGGAGTCCAAAACTAGAGGGCATAGGTGAGAGGGGAAAGATTTAAAAGGGACCTAAGGGGCAACTTTTTCACACAGAGGGTGGTGCGTGTATGGAATGAGCTGTCAGAGGAAGTGGTGGCGGCTGGTACAATTACAACATTTAAAAGGCATCTGGATGGATATAGGAAGAGTTTGAAGGGATATGGGCCAAATGCTGGCAAATGAGACTAGATTAATTTAGGATATCTGGTCGGCATGGACAAGTTGGACTGAAGGGTCTGCTTCCGTGCTGTACATCTCCATGATTATGTCACCGTGATGGTGGTGGAGACATACAGGACATAGGGTCACTTGTCACGGAGAAAACATTCAGAGCAGTGGGTTCATTATTTTAGAATAAGAGCCAGGCCATTCAGGGCCAGAGTCAGGAAGCATGTCTTCGCACAAAATATACTGGAAATCTAGATCACACCTCCCAAAAAGAAAGTGCTCCATCAAGGTGGGGCAATTATAAATTTCAAAACAGGCTATGTTTTTTTTTTAACTAGGATGGGTGGATGGATTTGAGAAACATAACAGCCACATTTTATTTGTTTGGCAAAACAGGTTTGAGCAGCCGAATGAGCTGACAGACTTGGAGAGGTGCAGTTGAAGAAGAAAGATTTTATAAATGTTAACACCTCTAATGCACTTCCAGGGAAAATAAATCCACTGAGATATTCAGTTTCATCCCAGAATTCCAACATCTTCTGATCTCACCATGCCAACATACTGAATTCTGCACATACCCACTTCCTCAGCCTGACATGCTCTGTTTTATTTAATCATCCTGTGTGAACAAGCTATGATGCAGCTTATCTTAAAGTGGGACTTGAACCCAAAGCTTCTGGCCCAGAGGTAGGGACACTAACACTTCACCACAAGACCACCTCCAACCTCCTCTAACTACAGACTGCAAGCTTTGACATCGAATTTTAACAATCCTTGCATATCTGTGGTCTCTTCTTGACCACGTCTCCTACCTGCTTGAAGGGATGTTAGAGATATCCTTCAATGAGCATTACCATGAAACCAGACCATCAGATAAATTATCTCTTGCTGTTTGCGAGAGCTGGCTATGTGCGAACTTGCTGCACCTCATTTCCGACATCATAACAGTAGATACACAATTCTCACTTTTTTTAATGTCACTATATGGCCTTGAACCAGCCCAATCATTGCATTCTCCTCCAGCTCAGCAACAACTTGTATTTATGCTGCATCATTAGTGGAAAAAAATGTCCTAAGGTGCTCGAAAGGAGAATTATGGAAAAAAAGATGACATCATAAGAAATAGGAGCAGGAGTAGGCAATCTGGACTGTCCAACCAGTCAGCCATTCAGTAAGATCATGGCTGATCTTTTTGTGGACTCAATTTCACATATGTGCCCGTTCATCATAACCTTTAATTCCTTTACTTTTCAAAAATCTATCTTTGCCTTAAAAACATTCAATGAGGAAGCCTCAACTGCTTCAGTGGGCAGGGAAATCCACAGATTCACAATCCTTTGGGTGAAGAAGTTCCTCCTCAACTCCGTCCTTTTGAGGCTATGACCCCCAGTTCTAGTTTTACCCGCCAGTGGAAACAACCTTCCTGCTTCCCTCTTACCTA